TACATTCAAAGTTGTGATTTTAAGTTTGAATTTTGGAGGCATATAAATGTACAAGAATTTTGACCAATTAGGTCTGTAAGGGCAGTCCCTCATTATGTTGTTTTCTGTAAGGGCTAGGCCTTAATTGGTTCTTATCCTGTAAGCTCTTTCCTTTTTTATCTGTATTTTTGTTTCCTGCCTGTAGTTTTGCATTAAGATATAGTGCAGCCAGTTCATCACATGGTGCTGATATTGGGTCAGGTAAGAGGTCCTTATCTTTACTTGGTGTAGAGTTTCTTTTATCATTGTCTATTTCCATTGAAGATGACAAAGGACCCTTTTGTTCATCTTGTATTAAATCATTTTCTTGTAAGCCCACACCATCTGTAATAGATGCATCATCTTGCAAGTATGGGTTTTCTTTTTTGTTAGCAGAACTACCTGCATGAGGTTCTTGTTCTGGCCTGATATTAGCTAATTTTTCTTTGCTGTATGATCCAATTCTTTTTTAAAAGTCTTGATATTGTTGGCAAAGGGCTACAGATTCCTGGAATAGCTGGCATTCCTTTTTAATATGCCCTTTTTTTTTACAGAAGTAGCATACTTTTGCTGCTGCCTTCCATTCTGTTGTGATCTTGTTATCCCAAATATGGGTAAATCTGGGTATTTTACTTTCTAAAAATGAATCCTTTGTGGCTCAAAAATTATCTGTTAGGTATGATGTATCTTCAATTAACAGGGGTTTAATCGATGCTATTTTACCTATATTCTCAAAAGCATCTTTAATTGAGTCTGATAGTTCTTTGTTGCCTAGTGGGACATTTCTGATTTTGACTGGCAATAATGATTTTCTCATATCCATTAGAACATATCTAAAATATGTTCTGTTAAAAATTTTAATACCTTTTGTTACATAAATCTTTAGTTTTTCTTTGTCTGTAAAGATAATTTCTAAATGTGATCATGTTCCTTTAGTAAGATGTTGTTTAGCTGCAATAATGTCATTTTTAGCCATTTCGAATAAAGATAACATAATTTCATTAAAAGAGCATTGTAAGCTTTGTATATTAATAATGAAAGCATTTTCATTCTTTGATTTAATTGTGTTTCTAGGAGAAAAGGATGAGTAAGTTGACTGACCTTTTTTAAGTTTAGAAAAGAGACTTGACTATTTTTTTGTTAGTGGCTTGGTTATTCTACTGGAGCTAGAAGTTGTATTTCTTTCCAAAGTAGAGTCCCCTTGTTCATTCATTGGTTCATTTTGAGTTGTTGTTTCCATGTTGTTTTTGTTACCTGTACTAGTTTCAGAGACCTCTTTGTCATGTGTTGTTGTTTGGATGTTATCTTCATTATGTGTACTAGTTTCAAAAACCTCTTCATTACATGTATTGACTTCAATAACCTCTTCATTATATGTAGAAGTATTGTTGTTTTGTTCTAAAAGTGTTTCTATGT